ATCCATCCATCCATCCATCCATCTATCATCTATCTATCTATCTATCTATCTATCTATCTATCTATCTATCTAATCTTTTCTTTTTTCTCTCTCTGACAGATCTCGGGAGCTGCAGAGCTGGGTCAAGCAAGTAAGTCACACCTTATGGCTCCAGGATGCTCTTTCTTCAGCCACTCTCATATTGGCTTTCAAGGCAATGGCTGTAATACACCTATTGTATTATTATTATTATTATTATTATTATTATTATGCCATTATTGGTTTGAAAGTTGGGGTTCAATGGGAGACATGGTTTCAAATACCCCTCGTATTGTAAAAAAGCATATAAAAGATAATACTGCAAACTATTATTATTATTATTATTATTATTATTATTATTATTATTACCCCAGAGTGGGACCCAAGGTGGCTTCCAAAAGCCATAACTATGGCATTGAGAGCATCTGGATATTATAGATTGAGGAATTTGGAGAAACAGACTGTCCAACCCACCTGGTTTTTAACCCAAGCTTCTCCTTTTGTTTCAGGGAGCAAAGGGGCTTGAGTGCCTCTGAAACAAAGGGGCCCGGAAGATTTGGGGAGCCGTCTTTGGGTCTCAGGCCGGCCAGGAAAAACACTTGTACATTTTTATTCCCTTTTATGATTTCCCCCTGTTTTTGGTTCCTAATTCCAATAAATAAAAGAGTCTGACCATAAGGTGGTTGGAGAGTTTTATTGGGGGGGGGGGGGGCATCTCAAGAAGAAGAAAAGTGCCATTGCCCCTGGAAAGGTTATAGCGATGTTAGTGCAAGATCTCCAAATTGCATGCAAAAATGGCCAGTTTGTGGCATTCTGCAATTGGAAAATATAGAAAAGTGCAATTGCCCCTGGAAATTGCATGCAAAATTGGCCTGTTTGTGGCATTGTGCAATTGGGGAATATAGAAAAGTGCAATTGCCCCTGGAAAGGTTATAGCAATGTTAGTGCAAGATCTCCAAATTGCATGCAAAATTGGCCTGTTTGTGGCATTGTGCAATTGGGGAATATAGAAAAGTGCAATTGCCCCTGGAAAGGTTATAGCGATGTTAGTGCAAGATCTCCAAATTGCATGCAAAATTGGTATGTTTGTGGCATTGTGCAGTTGGGGAATATAAGAAAGTGCAATTCTCCCGGGAAAATTTATAGTGATGTTAGTGCAAAATCCCCAAATTGCATGCAAAATTGGTATGTTTGTGGCATTGTGCAATTGGGGGATATAAGAAAGTGCAATTCTCCCGGGAAAATTTATAGTGATGTTAGTGCAAAATCCCCAAATTGCATGCAAAATTGGTATGTTTGTGGCATTGTGCAATTGGGGGATATAAGAAAGTGCAATTCTCCCGGGAAAATTTATAGTGATGTTAGTGCAAAATCCCCAAATTGCATGCAAAATTGGTATGTTTGTGGCATTGTGCAGTTGGGGAATATAAGAAAGTGCAATTCTCCCGGGAAAATTTATAGTGATGTTAGTGCAAAATCCCCAAATTGCATGCAAAATTTGTATGTTTGTGGCATTGTGCAATTGGGGGATATAAGAAAGTGCAATTCTCCCGGGAAAATTTATAGTGATGTTAGTGCAAAATCCCCAAATTGCATGCAAAATTGGTATGTTTGTGGCATTGTGCAATTGGGGGATATAAGAAAGTGCAATTCTCCCGGGAAAATTTATAGTGATGTTAGTGCAAAATCCCCAAATTGCATGCAAAATTTGTATGTTTGTGGCATTGTGCAATTGGGGGATATAAGAAAGTGCAATTCTCCCGGGAAAATTTATAGTGATGTTAGTGCAAAATCCCCAAATTGCATGCAAAATTGGTATGTTTGTGGCATTGTGCAGTTGGGGAATATAAGAAAGTGCAATTCTCCTGGGAAAATTTATAGTGATGTTAGTGCAAAATCCCCAAATTGCATGCAAAATTTGTATGTTTGTGGCATTGTGCAATTGGGGGATATAAGAAAGTGCAATTCTCCCGGGAAAATTTATAGTGATGTTAGTGCAAAATCCCCAAATTGCATGCAAAATTGGTATGTTTGTGGCATTGTGCAGTTGGGGAATATAAGAAAGTGCAATTCTCCCGGGAAAATTTATAGTGATGTTAGTGCAAAATCCCCAAATTGCATGCAAAATTTGTATGTTTGTGGCATTGTGCAATTGGGGGATATAAGAAAGTGCAATTCTCCCGGGAAAATTTATAGTGATGTTAGTGCAAAATCCCCAAATTGCATGCAAAATTGGTATGTTTGTGGCATTGTGCAATTGGGGGATATAAGAAAGTGCAATTCTCCCGGGAAAATTTATAGTGATGTTAGTGCAAAATCCCCAAATTGCATGCAAAATTGGTATGTTTGTGGCATTGTGCAGTTGGGGAATATAAGAAAGTGCAATTCTCCCGGGAAAATTTATAGTGATGTTAGTGCAAAATCCCCAAATTGCATGCAAAATTTGTATGTTTGTGGCATTGTGCAATTGGGGGATACAAAAAAGTGCAATTGCCCCTGGAAAGGTTATAGCGATATTAGTGCAAAATTGGCATGTTTGTGGCATTGTGCAGTTGGGGAATATAAAACAGTGGAATTGCCCCTGGAAAGGTTACAGTGATATTAGTCCAAAATCTCCAAATTGCATGCAAAATTGGTATGTTTGTGGCATTGTGCAATTGGGGAATATAAAAAAAGTGCAATTGCCCCTGGAAAGGTTATAGCGATATTAATGCAAAATTGGTATGTTTGTGGCATTGTGCAATTGGGGGATATAAAAAAGTGCAATTGCCCCTGGAAAGGTTATAGTGATGTTAGTGCAAAATCTCCAAATTGCATGCAAAATTGGCATGTTTGTAGCATTGTGAAATTGTGGAATATAGAAAAGTGCAATTGGCCCTGGAAAATGCATGCAAAATTGGTATGTTTATGGCATTGTGCAGTTGGTGAATATAAAAAAGTGCAATTGCCCCTGGAAAGGTTATAGCGATGTTAGTCCAAAATCTCCAAATTGCATGCAAAATTGGTATGTTTGTGGCATTGTGCAATCAGTGAATATAAAATAGTGCAATTGCCCCTGGAAAAGTTATAGCGATGTAGGTGCAAAATCTCCAAATTGCATGCAAAATTGGCATGTTTGTGGCATTGTGCAATTGGTGATTATGGGGCCATTACTGAAGAAGCCCCGTGCTTAATTCTATTTTAATGTTGGTTTGCTTTGGGTTTCAATTTACTGTTAGCTGCTTTGAGTCTCCTTTAGGAGAGAAGCAGTGGGATAGTACTACTGCTACTATTACTACTAAAGTAATAATAATAATAATAATAATAATAATATACAATAATAATATGATAGCTTTAGATTTGAGTCAATACGGTATGTCAAGGCCTCCAAGGCCATCAATCCAAATTTTCTCGTATGATCAAGAAGACCTCCCTAATGTTTACGTGGAATCCCTTTCCTTATTTATTTACATTATTTATTTACATTATTATTTATTTATTCTCACCCTGAAGGGGACTCAGGGCGGATTACAATGCAGACATACATGGCAAACATTCAATGCCATTTTCTAGACATACATACATACATATATAAAGACAGATAGAGGTATTTTTTGCATTTCCACTTCGGTGTCTGGAGGTTACGCTCGATTCCGACCACAGGGGGGAGCTCTCACTTTATCCTCTATGACACCGAGCCCTTTTGATCAGGACTGTGGCGCAACTGACTGGAAGTCAGCTGCATTAAGATCACGACTGGCCAAAAGGTCATGAGTTCGAAGCCAGCCCGGGTCGGAGTAAGCTTCCGACCAATTTGTGTAGCTTGCTGTCGACCTTTGCAGCCCGAAAGACAGTTGCATCTGTCAAGTAGGAAATTTAGGAGGCTAATTTACGACGCCATAAAAATCTCCAGCAAGCATGCAAAGAACGAGGAAGTACTTCATCAGTGTCACAAATGGATGGTCAAGCGACAGCTCCCCTGGTGGCCAGAATACCCTCATCAAAAAGCTGGAATGTTAAATAGCCTCTGTGTATCTGTCTATATATTTATTTATTTACAGTCTATATATGTTGCGTCTATATATGTTGCGTGTCTATGGCATTGAATGTTTGCCATGTGTATGTACATTGTAATCCGCCCTGAGTCCCCTGCAGGGTGAGAAGGGCGGAATATCAATACTGTAAATAAATAAATACTGTAAATGAGTATTTCCTCCTTTCTCTTTGACCACTGGCATTTTTATCGTGTCGTAAAATATCTCCCCACTTTTAAGTGGTCCCTAATTTCTCTACTCACAGCTCAGCTGTTTTTGAACTGCTTAGGTGGACAGTAAACTAGGCTTAGGAGTCGGGTGCTCAATCCGACTCAGGCTTCGAACTTGTCACCTTCTGGTCAGCAGCAATCTGTTGCAGATGGGGATTAACAGCCCGGCCCTTGCATTGATTTGCATCAGCTGGAAGTTCTCCGGTTCCCCCTTCCGCCAAGGCAGATGTTTTGAGGTGCCTCTATTATGTGGCTTCCCGTATCCCTTTCCAGTCTGCATGATTCCCAAGAAGCAAAGGCTCCGGGAAGGAAGCCACGAAGTCCACGAGGAAGCGATGTTTTGGTGCAGTGAAGCCGAGCCGGCCTTAGGTTCTCCTCCAAGTCCAAGAGAACAGCCTGGATCCAAAGAAGAAGAAAACAGGTAGGAAAGCCCCCCAATAATAATAATAATAATAATAATAATAATAATAATAATAACAACTTAACCTACATGGTTAAGTATTATTATTATTATTATTATTATTATTATTATTATTATTATTTAAAAAGATGTAGGGCTGGAATAAAGTGACACAGTGAATGATGTCAATGTATGTAGAAGCATGTTTCTTTGTTTGCCTGCATTTGTAGAGGTATAAAAGTCACAGGCAACACCTTTGTTCTCACTCTGGTTGCTTTTGGACACAGCTCCACTCCAGGGTCCCAGCTGGAAATAAAGCCGTACTTTTCTTTGCATGGTTAAGTAGTATTATTATTATTATTATTATTATTATTAAAATATATGTAGGGCTGGATTCTGCATAGGGCGTTCTGCAGATCCTGCATGGTTAAGTATTATTATTATTATCATTTATATTATTATTATTATTATTATATTATTATTATTATTATTATTATATTTTTCCCCATGAGGACACAAAGCAGCTAACAATCCCACACTTTAGTCAAGTATTATTATTATTATTAAAAATGATGTAAGGCTGGATTTTGCATTGGGCATTCTGCAGATCCTGCATGGTTAAGTATTATTATTATTATTGTGCTGTCGCACGCTGGGCCTGTGCATCAGACTGTAGACAGGACATAAATTTCCGTGTGTCTAACGGGATGCCGGGGCTGCCTCAGATTAAAGGCCCTTAGATTCCCCCAAACAGAGTCTTTAGAATGCTTAAAGTAAATCCAACAAAGTTCTTTATTGATGAAAACAAACAGGTACTTTCAAGCTTTCTTAACAGTCTATTGGCAGGGGTCGGGAACCTTTGGCCCTCCAGCTGTGGTGGACTTCAACTCCCACAATTCCTTGAGGCTCGGCATTCGCCCCAAAGGCTTACCTTGGCCCAACGAGGTTTGTTTGGCTCTTTTTCATGGAGGACGGGCAGCAAAGGGGGAGAGACGAGCGTAACGTAGCTGTGCAGATGGCGAGGAAGGATGCGGA